CATGTCCATGGATCAGAAAAGTCAATATTGTTTAAGATGTCAATTTAACCAAATTCCTAACTGGGCGTGATATAACCCCAATCACAATCTCAGCAGGAATGCTTTGGAAATTGATAAACTGATTCTAAAATTTGTGCTATTTATATGATACTCTAGAAAATAAACAAAGGGACAGCAGTGGTTGCCAAAGTGAGGATGGGTTTGCTGCCCATGGGCAGGAAAGGACTCCAATGGGTGACAGGACATTCTACAGCATGGATATTGTGGATGTCACATGAATGTTTCCATTTTAAAACTCTCAAATTACATACTTAAAATTGGTGATCATTGTTTTATGTAAAATATATCTCAATCAAACTTTTTAATAGTTCTTTGTGATTGGATGTTTGGTATTGTTATAACAATGACTATTGAAATTTAAGAACTTGGAAAATTATGGCGTATGTGTTTTCTATTGCTGTTATTAATTATCACAAACTTAGAACCTTAAAACAAAGATACAAAGTTCTGGCAGGCTTGACGGGGTTCTCTGTTCTGGGTCTTGCAGGAAAACTGAAAGTGTCAGCCATCTAGGGGCTCTGCCAGAGAATATACCTCTAGGCTCATTTAAGTTGTTGGCAGCATTAATATTTTCATGGTTGTAGGACTGGGTTCTCATTTCTCTAACTTGGATCCCCTTCCATCTTCAAGCCCGCAATGGTTCACAGTCCTTGTGCTTTGAATCTCTCTGCCTTCTCTTTCTGTCTTCCCTTCTGCTTTTAAGGGCTCATGTGACTACACTGAATTGACCTAGATAATACAGGATAATTTTCCTATGATTAGAAGCTTAGACTTCTGCAGTTGCCTCATTTGCTATGGAAGGTGACATATTCATGGAATGGAGCTTGGGGACCATAGTAGTGACCCCATGGACAGCCCACTACCACTAATAACTGAGAATGGTAACAGCTAACTAACAGGCACTGAGTGAAGCCTACAGTGTGCCAGACACTGGGTTAAACGCTTCAGAGTTGTCACTGTTGTTTGTCTCCCCAGCTGCCTTACAAGGTGGGCACTATTTCTTTGGACATTGTGAGAAATGAGCATGGGAAGGTCTGTAAATTTCCAGGATCACATAGCAAGTTAATGACAGACAGGGCAGACATAAGATTCTGACCTACCTGGTTGGAAAGCACTAAACTGGTTGTGTTTTGGTCACCATGTTATTGTTAGATCTTATTTCAGTGAAAGGAACTCTGTTCTCTCACCAGTTCCTCCTCAGAATCTCTTGCATTTTTTTCTTCACAGTATGTTGTGCAGCTCGTGTTATCTGGTTTTTTTATTATTAGCAAGTGCCTTAAGGGGAACCTGTCTGTCTGCTGGGCATTGTATCTCCATGGCTAGCTGATGCTCGGTTCGTGGCAAGGGCTTAATACATGGTCATTGGCTGCCTGACTGAATGATGAGCAAGTATACACCCCTCTTCTGTTATCTTCTCCAAATGCTGCTCATTACCCTCTGGTTAAGATGATGAGAGAGAACAAGGAGAGTATGTGAGCTAGAGGCATGCATTTGTGTCCCAGGCCTGCTTTCCAACAAATTATTTGCAACATCCTACCAGTGCATCTCTGAAAAGGTTGCTAGGACCTGCCACCTCTCTGTTCTCGTTTCTGCAGAGAGCTCATTCTTTTACAATAATACAGGTCATATCTTACAATCATGTTTGAATGAGTGAACAAATTGAGCTCCCCACACTCTTGATTTTAGGAAGCACTGCCTGGATTAGCATGTCCCAGGGACTGAATTCCTTTATGGAAACACACAGCTTAGAGCATCATTTTCCTGGTGTAGCATATGCATCACTTTATCAAGTGACTTTACACCAGGGCTGGCCAGAGCCCAGCAGGCAGGAATGGGCATAATTCATGAGTACCTTTGTGATGCATTTGGCACAAAGCCACGCCCAAAATAATGGTTAAAGGAATCAGTGAGTGCAACAAGTATACCACAAAGAACCTGATCCCATGACTTTCCTGGGGTTCATATCATTAAAAACATCTTCCTCCCAAAACAGAATGAAGAGTTATAAACAAATATAAAGATAACAATGTTGACCAAATCCTTTCAAATCCTTTGAATGTGAGATTGTCTTTCTTCATTTGCCCATGTTTCTAGAACTACAAAGACCATGCCCCTCTGATGCTCCTAAATGTAACCCCGTGTTAAAGATTAGATCAGAGGCAGGCTCCTTCCTGCTCTCAGGAATTTTCCCACCCTCTCCCTTATCACAGACAACAGGACATGGACAGTACTGTCAAACTTCAGAGTTGTAAACAGGTAGACGATAGACAAAAAGATACAGAGATAAAATAGACATAAGTGTAGGAAGAGAGAGATCATAAAATTTACAGTCTAGAGGGGAGGGGAAAATGGAGAAAGAAAGTAATCACTTACTGTGACAAGTACAGGAAAAGAAATCATCCCCAGGCAGAGAGTGAGGATGGTGTGGGGAGGGATTTGTGTCACAGAGAGAAGCCTAAAACTTGCTGAAGAGTTGCCCTTTAGGATAGGGTGCAGAAATCCTGGCACAGACAGCGGGGTGGCTGCAGATACTGAAAGGGGCGGGTCACTACAGCAGAGCCCTAGAGGGGAAAATGGCAAGGGAGAGAGTGGAGATTCAACCACCCCAACACTTGGCTAGAATCACCTCCAAATTTCTCATCACCATCTCTACAAAATAAGATTGGTAAAATTGAATATATGTACGCAACAAACTTTTGTATTTTCCTTTTATTAATTTCATAATAGATTTGTAATACATTTGAAAATCAATTCTATGATGTCATTTCCTAAACAATTTCCAAATGCCTTCATCATAAGCAGCCCAATTAAGTAAAACAGTTTAATCAGTTCAAGGTCCAAGCTATTTATCATGGCCAAATTCCAATTAATTGTGAGTCAAAGGGAATATTGTTTTGCACACAAAATTAAAGGAAACATTTATGGCATTAATAGTCACTTTAATGTACTTTTGTACTTACAAAAGTATACATCTCAAAGTTGCTTGAATATTGGAAAGTTCTATGGTCATTACATGCACAGCAAATTTGTGTACAAATTAAACACAGTTTGTTTTTAATATTACACTATTGATTGATTTAATATGAGGTAATGTTCAGGCTTAATTGCCTTACTCTAGAAAAGCCCTTAGGGGGAAGCAATTCCTGTATCTACTCAGCATGAGCAACTAAAAACTACAAATAGAAATGTCAATTTGCCTTGAAATGTGATTAGTTGACTCTATCAGGCCTACAGCTTGTTTCTAAAGTCTAAAAATATTAAGTTTAAAAACTTCACAAGAATGTAATGAATGCTCTGAAGTTTACATGTTGACTCAACATGCCCCAATAAATACCTTGATTTCCCCAAGAAAGATTTGCAAGACCTTCAAGGGCAGCTTTGCAGCACACTATCTCAGGGAGGTGAGTTTCACAGAAAAGTACATTTGGAAATTTTTCACTAAAAGAAAAAATATGGAAGAAAGAACTTAGAAGGTAGGGAGGAATGGCAGTGGGGTATGTCACGAACTCTTTTGAGCAGGTTAAAGAATTTCTGCTTGGTAGAACAGATCTGACCCTTTCTCTCCACCTTCTGTGGTATCCTTACATTATTTATTCCACTTTAGGAGAACATGGCTGATGGGTCCTAGACCTGAAGCTTGTGAAGTAAGAGTTGACTAGCTCCCCTGTAAGTGCTCCCCAACAGGCTCCCAGTGTATGATTCTGCAGAAACCCTGGACATGCACATTAGTGTGCTCCCCATCGGGGAGGTTGGCTCACCAGGACATGGTAGCAAGGTGGCTGTTCAGAACACCTAATAGGTGGCTCTTACAGACTTACCAGCGTTTCTCTTATTAACTGACAACCCATCTTTCTGCTCTTTGTCTTCTGAATGAGCATCATAAAAACCTCTGGGAATTACATATTTTCTACAACTCTTTAACCAAAGCCACTAGAGTTTCACAGGTGAGTGTAATTAGAATACGTCCAGTCCTTCCCATTTGTTCTCTACAATCTCATTAGAAATGTCCCAGCTGCTGCACAAGCGGACAGATGGGAATACTATTTAACCAGAAAACTGTAACAATCTCATAATCATTACGGTTAACTCTTTTCAGAAAATTTGCTTTAAGATAATACAGTTCCTGCCTTCACAGGCATCGTTGACTCTGGTTTCAAACAGCATCCCGATCTTCATTCAACAAACAAATGAACAAGGTAAGATAATCAAGACCTCTACACTGGGGCTATTTCATTATGGACTGTTACTCATGGTTGGTGGACTTTTTCTGCTTTTAGCCTAACAATGTCAGTATGTGTACTATAAAATACTTGGTGCTCAAAGGCACTTCCTTCTCTGAAGTTAAACAGGTACACACTTTGGAGAGAGTAGGTTTTGTGCTTTTGACCGAGCTAACCCAGTTTACTGCTGTCTTAATTCAAAGAGGGTGTCCCATCTGTTGCTAAGAAGGACAGAGAGTCCTTCCATATTAAATGTGTAAGGACCATCCTTCATTTGCTGTCACAGAAGCTGTCTTTCAGATAAGAAAACGATGGATTTTACTGGGAGATTTTCCAGAAAAGCAAGGTTGGGCGGTACCCCACAGTCAAGTGGAAGTTGTCAGCTTGTCTGTTTGGGAGGCTGCCTCTTTAAATCGCTTAGAAGTTGTCAGTGGCTTTTCCCAGAGTCCGCTGACCGCCTCCACCCCAACCCAAGAATGTATGGGGGGAGGGTGGGAAGAAAAGAACTCTTCCAAGTTCCTTTTGCTCTCACTAACATTACCAAAACTTTGCACATGTCTCTTGCCAGACTCGCCGCTGGCATCAGAGCAGATGGACTGACAACCAAGTGAGGGCTCAGCCCAAGCGCAAGCCCCACCCCCACCCCCACACACGTGTACACACACACCCTTGCTCTGGGAACAGCCGCCCGGATCGCGCCTGCCCCTCGGGAAGCTCCTCCAGACTCCCGGCCCCACGCCCGAGGCCGCCGCCCCAAACACTCATACATCGCACGATGCACCGCAGGGGCTCGGAGAGCAGAGCCAGGCGCGTGGGAAGGTGACCCCGGACGTCCGACGCCGACCCCTCCAGGACGCCGGGCCCTCCTCCCGCCCGCCGACGGGCACCGCCCACTGTTGCCATGACCACGTTGTGAGCCGCACGCCCGGGAGCCAATCGGTGCCGCCCGGCGTTGCCATGGCCACCGTGTGTTGGGTCCATTTTTGACCTGGCCACACTTGCTGCCCTGTCCCAAGAGCGCGAGGCATGAACCGCAAGAAGCTACAGAAGTTGACAGACACCCTAACTAAAAATTGCAAGCACTGTAAGTAGGAGTAGGTGCTGGACGGGCGGAGGTCCCTGGGCTGGGTCGCGGGTCCCACCCGGTAATAACCTCCTGGCCTGACCTGCTTCCGGCCAGCAAAGCCTGTGTGCCAGGGAGCCCCTTGCACATACTCCCGCCAAAAGTCTGGGAGGGGATCCCTGGGTGTCGACGCCTGAGTGGCATCCACCTTGCCCAGGACCTTAGGACCATGTTCAGGGGCCCAGGAGGCTGGTACTACACTCCCACGTGCACTTACTTCTTAAACCTTCTTAACTTAGCTTTTCATTATAGAAACGTGGTTTATATACACAGGAGACAGTGGGTTCAGCCTAAGACACAAATGTAAGATAAGAATAGGCATACCTCGGTTTATTGTGCCTTGCTTTATTGCGCTTCATAGATAACTGCATTTTCTAAAAACTGAAGATGTGCAGCAACCTGCCAGGAGCAAGCCTATCAGCACCATTTTCCAACAACATTTGTTCATTTCATGTCTCTGTGTCACATTTTTGGTAATTCTTGTAATGTTCCAAACTTTGCATCATTATTATGTTTGTTATGGTGATCTTTGATCAGTGATTATGGCTCACTGAAAGTTCAGATGATGGCCAGCATTTTTTAGCAATGAAATGTTTTTAAATTAGGGTATGTATATGGCGTTTTAAGCATAATGCTATTGCACACTTAATGGACTACAGTATAATGTAAACATAACTTATATATGCACTGGGGAACCAAGAAACTCATTTGACCCACTTTATTGTGATACTCACTTTATGGCAATGGTCTGGAACAGAACCCACAATATCTCTGAGATGATAAAATTCACAGGCATAGTAAAACCCACTGGGCTCAAGAAAAGTGCACAACCAACATACACCTGCTTTCTAGCTCTTTTTAAAGCAAATAACTGGCAGTGTCCAAGTTCTGGAAACCTGCCAAGAGACCAAAATGGTTATCAAAGGCTGAATATCCTTAGGAAAGATGAATTGATGTGGCGCAGGGTTGAATGGCACAAATATATATCAGAACTGGGAGATTTGTTTGGAAACTAAAAAGCTCAACAAAAATCTAAACACATAGGAAACTGGTCCCAATTCTAGCCTTCCACTTTCCAGTTGCTGGGAGGGTTGCAAGGTAAAGGTGACAAGATGACCCTTTAGTAAAGATACCTGCTCCAATCACATATTCTAAAGTGTGGTCCTAGAATTTCATAGGTAATTTTAGAATTATATTCAGACTAGAAAAACAGAACTGTAGCTTGGCAAGGAAATTATGGATATGGTTTCAATGGGGAGGATATTGTCTGATGAGCAAGTGTATAAATTGTGTGCTGATCATAAAACTGCTGGCCCCTTGAGGAAACAGAAGCCATAATCCGAAAACCACACCCATTGTTCAAGGAAGCAGGAATAAACATGTTTGAATGTTGTTCTAGAGATTACAGGGTCTAGTGCCTTCTAATCATATTTAGTATCTAATGTAATAAGTAGTAAGAAACGCTCTTTTAGTGGAGTGATGCTGTAAATAAAGTTTATGGTGTGTATAAACATCTTAAAGTTCTTAGGAAAAAATCGTCCTATAATTTAGAGTTATTATAACCTGATGAGAGTTGTGTTCTGTTGTTTTCCTTAAAGTACTTCCATTTATGGGAAAAAGACTAGGTATTAAGGCATCTGGTAAACATTCTGAATAAGCAATGCAATAGCTGCTATACTCAGTGATGTGGTCACCATTCAGTCAGATGCACTGCGGACGTTGTATGAACAATCAAAAAGCAGGTATATTAAAGATAATTCAAAACATGGCAGGAAAATCTGTCAACTCTTTTGATTTTGTCCTTACATAAAATTTTAAAGTGATCCTTAAAAGCCTTAATGATTGCTAGTTAAATTCTATAGAAATAGTTACAAATCATGGACATGATTATTTTAAATCTCTTTAAACAGAGGCCCTTTCCCCTAGAGTCAGATTTCCGTTCAGTTGCCAGATGATGAAATGGATACACATTTTAGAATCAGAGAAAAATAAAACTATATTAAGTGACCATCTGGTTAATCCACCATTCCACAGATATGATCTGCAGAACACACTCAGACCAATCGAGGCAGATGAGAATCCATTCATTCTTGAATTTCTGTTTAAGTAATAAGTCAATATTCTTTCATTTTATTTCAGCCATGATGGAAAAATGGCTAATCAACATCCCCTCTCCTGGCATTTCAAATAGCTGAACATAGTGCATCATTCTTCATGAGGCTTTTTTCTTCCCCAACTATTAACAGCTCTTTAAACTTTTAGTTTCTTTTTATTGTGGTTAACAATACATAACATAAAATTTACCATTTTAGCCATTGTAAGTAGACAGCTCTGTGGTATTGTTTACATTCACATTGTTGTGCAACCATCACCACCATCCATATCCAAAACATTTTCATCTTTCCCATCTGAAACTCTGTACCCATCAAACCATAACTACCTATTTCCCCCTCCCCCAGCCCCTGGCAATCACCATTCCACTTTCTCTGTGAAGTTCATTACTCTCGGAATATCATTTAAGTGAGATCATACAATATTTGCACTTTTTTGACTAGCTTATTTCCTTCAGCATAATGTCTTCAGGGTTCATCCAGTTTGTAGCTTATGTCAAGATTTCCTTCCTTTTCAAGGCCAAATAATATTTCATTGTATAGTCATACTACATTGTTATCCATTCTTCCATGAATGGACACTTGGGTTGCTTCCATCTTTCTCCTGAATAGTGTCACCATGAATATCAGTGTACAAGTGTCTGAGTTGCTCCTTTCAATTCTTTTGGGTGTATACCTAGAAGTGGAATCAGCAGATCACACATTTACTATTTTTTTTGAGGAAGTGACATCCATTTTCTAAGCAACTCACAGCTCTTTTTTAATTATAACCATTGTATTCTTTTGTACTCTTTAATCATTATATTTGCTAAGTCATTTATTTTTCCAAAATTCTCGGTGTTCTTCTTAAGTTGGAACCAAACCAGACATCACACTCAGGCCCGTCCTAATTCTAGGATGAGCTGTGATTTCTCCATTCTTCTGTGCTTTTATAGGCACACTGGTTTCATCTTTGTTTTTAAAAATATTGAACCATGATTTTGTCTTGTTTTGAAATATTTTATTCCCCAAATTCCACCTATACTTCATATGTAACTGCACTTTTATGTTCTTAATGCCAGGCAAAAACTTTTCACCTACATACCTCAAACAAGAGTTAGAATACAAATAATTAGCTCAATGTTTATAAACACCACCCTTTATGCAATTATGTCTCTGTGCAAGTATGCACTGTGTGTGTCCTTTAAATAAAAGTTTCCTTCTTCTGAAGTTCTGTTGAATAGTTGCATGTTAATTTCATATCCTCCACAACAAGAACCATAATGGGTGCTAGAATATACTTACTTAAACACCTCTTTACTGGAAAATAGGTGATTCTGACTTCCATAATCTGGTTTATGAATTCACTAAGGCTAATGTGAAATGAAAACTTGCCTGGCTTGCAAGTGCCTGCTATCCATTTCTAGGGAGAAGTTAAGTTGTAAATCCCATAAATGTTTATAATCAAACCCGGGAAAAATTTTACCATTCTTAAACATTACCATGCTTACTATGAATCATATGTCTTCTGTCTTGTAAAGTTTAGGCTCTGACCCACAATCATACTCAGGTAAGTTGGCTGATACTACCTTCTCTTCTCTTAAATGTGACTGAACTTACATCTGCTTAACATTCCCCATCTGGATGGAAGGCTGCTTCTCTTACATTAGTGAAGAGTCCTCCATAAGAACCATTCTCTATTAGCTTAAGGGTTATGCATCTCAAAACTGGATAGTCTTTTGTTGATAACTACCTATTTGATGGCTGTGATGTTATTTGCCTATAAATTCAATAATACAAAATTTAAGTTAGAAATTATAGGTTAAAAATGCGTTTCTGTCCTATCTTATTCTTCTACAGTTAATAAATTTGAAGTGAAATGTCTTATAAACCTCTTTTATCACTTGGTGGGAGGCATAACTGAGCAGCAAGGCACAGCGATCGGACTAGATCGTAATGCCTTCCAAAACATCCTGTACAGGACATTTGGAATGTTGGACGACACAATTATGGACAGAGGTAGGAAGACATATGATATTCAAATGAGCCAAAGTCAGCCATAACTGAAAAACAAACAAATTTGGAGTTTGGATATACACTTGGTAGGGAGCTAATGTTTTGCACTCCCAATTTCACCTATGTTTTTATATTCATAGGGAAGGAGATAATATATACTGTATTTTGTGTATTTAAGAATGCAAAGTCAGTTTGAAGAGCTGTATTTCCCTTACTTTGTATCAGAAAACCCCAAATATTTCTATTTCTATTTAGTAATGTAGCAATACAAAGAATAGTTTTTAATGGACATTTAAATTTCCTTACATCATTGAGAATATTTCAGTAAAAAGTAGGATATAATCCTATCTATCATGTAATAACTTACTTTCTTGAGTAACAAAAATATAAAATTATGTATTTTATGTCACTAAATCAACATATTTAATATACCAATATTCTTTTTTTATATCAATATTCTTATATGTTAATAATTGTTGATTACTTTTTTAGATATTCAAAATTTACTTTGTTCCTACAAAGAGAAACTGTGAACATTTAAATAAGGGCTTTCCAGTGTTAAACTGTCTTGGTTTCCCCTTTTGTCAAATGAGAATGTTAGACTGTTTGACCCTAACATTTTGTCTAAATTTTAGGAATAGTACCAATGTAGATACATCACTGAGAATAAAAATACAGCACAAGTATTGTATTGTACTTCTCTCTTTGTAGTATTTCGAGGTTTTGATAAAGACAATGATGGTTGTGTAAACATATCAGAGTGGATTTATGGATTATCACTGTTTCTTCGAGGAACTTTGGAAGAAAAAATGAAATGTAAGATTTCACATCATCCTATTGTTTGTACATTATGATTAACATAACTAAAGAATTAAAATCAATGTCCTCCAACCCAACCAGTGAAGTAGGATTACTGGTTTGAACCCCCATTAGCCTCTGTTGTGAAGCAAATTAAAGTCAATGGTAAGAGTTGAAAAAAATTTTTGAAAAGGAACATCAAGAGATTCTAAGGAGAAATTCATGCTAAGCAAGACTGCATAAGCATAGACTATACACACTAATTATGTACACAGGCATTTCTGTATACCTAGTAGGTATTTTGCATATTTCATTCCTTGAATTATAACCATAGAGAACATTGATTCAGTGTTCTGATTCTTAGCTAATCCTTCACTAATTCTGTTGAACTCAATTAAAGAGTCATATTACAATCGGTTTTCCAAGAGTTTCAAGATAGTAATGTTCAAGTTATTCTTCCTTGGCATCCTTTCTCATAGCTGAGTATAAGGAAGCACTTCCTAAGGCTCTCTGACTACATTTAGCAGGTGGACACTGAGTGTTCCCTGTGGAAATCAGGTTGTGCTAAGGCATCAACAATGTAGACCTTGGCTGCTTAAACTTAAACTTTACTGAAGCAAATGTTACCTTAGTGATAGCATAGAATTCATAATCTGTTATTTTTTGAAAGATTGCTTTGAAGTGTTTGATTTGAATGGTGATGGATTCATTTCAAAGGAAGAAATATTCCATATGTTGAAGAACAGCCTTCCCCAGCAGCCATCTGAAGAGGACCCCGATGAAGGAATTAAAGATTTGGCTGAAATAGCACTTAAAAAAATGGTAAATATGGGAAATACATAGTTTTATATTGAAGTTTCCAGGCCAGATATGGACTAGGAATAAGAATTCAAATTACAGAAACAGTTTCCAGCTTGTAAAATGAAACACATAGATTGTGCTCTTTTATTATATATCAATAGTTCTTTCCAAGTTCACTATTTAGTCTCTTACCTTTCTAACACCTTTCTTCTATTAACCCTGAGCCGTGAAAAGACTGTATTTGTAACAAGGATTTTGCATGTTGACTGACTCATGGCTTTCCACCCTCTAGGACTATGACCATGATGGGAAACTGTCTTTCGCAGACTATGAGCAAGCTGTGAGAGAGGAGACCCTTCTGCTGGAAGCTTTTGGACCATGTCTACCTGATCCAAAGGTGGTGATAGGACTTTCACTTTTCAGTGACCAAAATAGAATGTATGATCAACAACCCACAATGCAGCACTTCTTGGCTTAATGAACAATGGATCACATTAATACTTTCACCCACAAAGAATAGTTTCCAAATAGAGAAAGCACACCGACAGAGGACCTGCTGGTTCATCTAATACTACTATTGTAACCCAATGCTCTTTTTTCATTAATTAACTCATTTGTTCATGTAAGAAACAATTATTGAATCTTAATGTGTACCAGAGACATAGATAAAAGTCTCAATGGTTGCTAACATTTTCCTGGGAAAAGCAATATGAACATAATATCACCACAGTGTAGTACTACTGTAATAATAGTTGATAAATTGCACAGTGCTTCATCTCTGCCAGGCCTTGTAATAAGCATCTGCGCATGTTTGCCTCATCTAACCTGCTGAGCTCCCTATGAAGTAGGGATGCTCATTTTACAGATGAGGACCCTGGGCACTTGGTGCTGGATCTGTAGAATATTTGTAGGGTGCTGGGTGGTCAAGAAGACGGCATCTACACCCACTGTGTGTAATGACTGGTGAATGCTGATGGGACAAGGCAGGCTTCCCTGGGCTTGTAGGGATACAACAATCAGCCAGCTCACAGTGGAGAAGTATAGTCTAAGCAAAGGGAATGTACAGGCATGGAGCGAAAGTGAGAGACGCAGGTGAATCTGCATTAGAAGAGCATTTGGTGGGGTCCAAGGTTTGGGATGAAACTGGAGATGCACAGAAGGGTCAAGTCCTACTGAGCTCAGAGCTTAGATTTTTGTCTTGGGGTTACGAGGATTCACCAGTAGTATTGAAGCCGGTGCAGTGATGTGATGTGTGAATATTACCTCCTGCCCTCACCATCTCAAAATCTAAACTGTATCTCCAGGTCTTTACACAGCATGTCCAGTAGATAATCTAAGTGAACTCTTATTTTTCCCCCAAAACTAGCCCCTCCCTGGTCTTCTCTATCTCAATAAACAACACCCTTTTTCACTCATTTGTTCCGTCAGAACCCTAGGACTCATTGTTAATTTCTGTCAGAGTGCTATTAGGTACTCCTTCAAAGTGCGTCCTTGAACATAATCTCTTCTCTGCACATCTAGGTGAACACCACCCTAAATCAAGCCACCACCATCTGTCACCTAACTAGATCATTGGCCTTCTTGCTTTACTGTCCCTTATTGCCTATTCTCCACAGTATCCACATATTTAAAAACACAAATGTCGTGTCCCTCCCTTGCTCAAAACCACCCTGAGTATTCCGAAGCCTGCAGTGTGGCCCCTTCCTTGCTCGCCAAGCATGTCTGCAGCTACTCCCATTCTCTCTTGCCTGTGGAGCTACACCAGCCACCTTGCTGCTCCTCCCTGGCTGCCTCTTCGCTAGTCTCTGTCTAGAACATCCCTTCCTCAGACCATCACATGCCTCAGACTCTCACTTTATTCATTCTTTGCTTAAATGCCATGGACCATCTTACCTACTCTGCCCCTTCCATCCCCTGAGCGCTGCTTTTTTCTTCATAATTCTGATCATTATGTAGAAATATTTACTCATTTACTTATTGTCTGTCTCAACACATAGATGTGAACTCCCTGAGGCCGGGAACTCAGTCTTTTTTCACCACATTTTCAGCATATACTGTATGTAGCATGTGGTCAGTGCCGAGTAAAAGAGGAGATGGCGGGTGGATGGGTGGCTCTCAGAGGGCCTGGTAGAGAGTCCGGATCATCTCCTTCCAGCTCCTTAGGAGCTGCATCATTCACCTTTCTCTTTACCCTACATCACAACCTCTTCCCTCAACACAGAACCTTCCCTTCAGAATTTAAACAGATTTAAACCTGCCCCAAGTAAAAAGCAAAAGAGCAGGAAGAAAAGGAGGAAAGAAGGGAGGTGGGGGGGAAGAAAGAAGGGAGAGAGAGAGACAGGTAGGGAAGGAGATAGAAAAGAAAAGAAGGAAGGAGGGAAAGAAAGATGGGAAAAAAAGGAGGGAGGAAAGAAAAAAGTGGAGAACTTATCTCAGTTCTGCACCTACTTCTATTCCCTGTCTAAGGGATTTCATTTCCATGGCCAAGTGTCTGGAAAGAGTTGTCTATCTTTGGAAGAATTTCTATACATGCTAGATAGGATGCTGCCCAACTCATGAATCACTTAATTAAATCTTCAAAAACAACAATGTATCTTTGTGTCCTACATTACTGTCACTTTCTCCCGTTCACTCCTGGAACTGGATGTGCCCACATCACAGCTCCCTCCTTGCTGGTGGATCCCAAGCCCCCTAGCTCTTGGGTTCCTGCCTTGTAGGACCCCTCAGCCCAGCTTATGGACTGCTTCACCTGATCCAGGAAACACCTTCAGGGCCCACCTGCCTGCCTGTGACATGCACATTCCTGGATTCTGTGAGCCCACTGTGTGCCCACCAGGGCAGCCCTTCCAGGCTGCACACTCTGGGACAGCTGGGTCCCTTGGTCTCTCTCCTCCCTGTGGCCCCAGACCAGGCATTGTGCTTGGAACATGGTCAACCCTGTCACAGTCTGTGTGTGAGAAGAGCATGGATCCACCAGGGCTTTGTTCCCAACCTTCCTCAGCTGTCTCCTGTCTCTGCAAACATTAAGGAGATATACAGAACTTTTTGTTCTACCTCTTTGGGAAGTCTGTTCTAACTTGAGTATTTTTATTCTACAGAGCCAGATGGAATTCGAAGCCCAAGTATTCAAAGATCCAAACAAGTTCAATTATATGTGAAAACCTAAATGTCTGGCTGTCTCAAGTGAGTGAAAAAGGAGGCACATACATATGGTTTATTTTTCCTGCATAGTGAAAGATGATATGAAATTGTGATTTTGGGGGTGGGGATGGGCTTACTTATATGTCATTCAACTTTGCAGATGGAAGACAAAGTTTCCTATTGGATGGCATTGGGCTCGGTCAGACAAGCTAACATGGGTGGGGACATTCTGCCATGGGGACACCACAGGGACTATCTGTTGAAGCACATGACTATGTTCACACCTTGGTATTAGTGAAATGAATAGAGAAGAGTATGCAATCATGAATTATTAAGGAAAATATTCTTCATGTCAGAGAGATGTGCTGGGTATACATTTAAATTAGTGAAACTACTCATTTCCTTTGAGCAGTAAATAATTAAGATGGCATCAAAAGAACCCTTTTCTGCTAGGCATGGAGGGAGGTTCAGAGAGATAAAGAAACACGGACTCTTTTTAGTGTGATCTGTGGTATTGTTTGAGGCCTGCCTGAACAACCTGCCTGGATCATGAGCATCTGAGGGCAGGTCTCATCACACCTGAATTTGTAACCTCCATTAGTACCATCCACTGCACAGAAGCAGCCCACAGTATAATACCGCGGATGGGAAGTACTAACATGAGATAAATGTAGGCTCCTGGCAATCAGAGGAAGAAAGTGCTCCTTCTCGGGGTCAGTGGATGTACCGTGTGTCTGAGCCATCCCAGATGCCCCTCTTTGCAGTCAGCTATAAAACCCACTCTCTGCTCTGGCCCTCTGTGTCTCTCCACCTCACTGTCCCCACCTGGGTGCATCTCAGGGGCTCCTCCCCACTGCCTGGGAGTCCCTGTGTTCAGCCCCTTTTCAGGGGTCATATCTCACAGCACCACCCTGGCCACAAACCCCAGAAGACAGACCTACCTTTCCCTCCACCCCCGTTTGTCAGCAGGTGCCCCTGGGCACTGGAAGAAGCCTGAGAAGGAGGGCCTGGTTAGGTTCTGTGAGCCACCCTTCCCCTCTCGTAAACACAGGCAAGCGGTGGAGAGAGCCATCATGCAGATCTCTCTCCTGCCCCATGTGAGTGCTCAGAGACTACTTGGGGTCCTAAGTCCCTTTTGTTACAACCTGTGTAATATTGTAAGCAAAGGAGTATACTATATAAATCAGAGACTGCTACAAGTAAATTGAATAAGCAATTCAATGAGGTAAGAGATACTTTACTGTCCAAATATTTTCTAAAAATTTTAGATTTTTATATCAATTGTCTTGGATATAATTTTTCAATCTTGAGTAGGTATAAAATGGAATACACAATGATTTGAATTTTTAATTATATTTTTATGATTATAAGTGATAGAGGTTTACTGAAGAATATCTCAGGGGTTCAGGAAATTAAAAAATAGAATAAAATATGTATCCATATTCTGGTATAGACTCAGGCTTTCTTAAGGCATTTGTCAGTAAAGCTGTATTTTTGCCAGAGTATACCTATATTTCTTAAATGATCACATTGAACATGCTCTTTTGTAAGCTGCTATTTAAGATGCCACTATCACATGAACATTTTCTCAGGTCCTTAAATATTTATCCACAGCCTGACTCATACTAGCTGCCCGCTGTCCATCACAGAAGACTTCAGGAAACCACTTCCCTGCCACTGGCATCTGAGTGACTCCCACATTTTTGCTATTATAAATAATTCCCCAAGTGAACTATCCTTGTAGATAAATCTTTTCATGTGCATCATTGCTTACTTACTTGGCGTAGATCTGTAAAAGTAAAAACGTTGGATCAGAGGCCCGCATAAAGGTGAGATTTCCAGCCCACATGGCGGGGTTACCCCCCAGGCAGGCCGTGCTGATGCAGGAGCACGTTAACCCCCCTTCTCACAGTCCACGGCCTCTTAACTTCTTCGCCAATATTGTGGACCATAATTGACCACGATTTTAATTTATCATCTAAATAGCTAATCTTAGAAAAGAAGAAAAATAATAATAATAAAGAACTAATCTTACATGCATGTCTGTACTGAAAGTTTTTATTGTAGATTAAATAAAAATTGGCTTCCATGTGAATAGCCCATTTTATTATGTGACATTATTTAAAAGTAAATATATATATATATATATATATTTTAAAGAAAACTCTAAGTAACGCTAAAGATGATGACTATAAGAACTCACGCGCCCTGTTCAAGGGCTTCCCCATGTGTCACAGAGCACACCCCCTCTGCTGTTCCTCCTCATAATCTACCCAAATCATTTCCTTCTGCTACTATATCTAGATTTCCAGATTCTCTTAATTTTACTACTGCAGCAACTCATAAATGATTTTAACGTGAAAATTCTCTCAACTTAATAGCAGGGAGGAAAGCCCTTTTCCCTTCCTCTGAGCTCTGCTCCCACTCTGAGCTTCGCTCCCTGCTGCCAGGCTGCCCTGACTCCTCCTCTGCTCAGAGCTTGCCTGCCTTGGGGGCGGCTGGGTCAGGACTACAGAGGAGCAGTTATCATCTGCACGACTGCTGTGGCCTTCCTCTCACTGGATCCTGAAAGCACTGGCTTCCCCCTCTCCTTTCGGTGCTCTGGGAGGGTGGGCAGGAAGCAGCCGGGCCCCTCTGGGAGAGGAGTGCATCCCCCTGCAAGCAGCATGGAGAGATTCTGTTGGGGAAACAATCCAGTACTTTTTTTTTTAACTACAGGATTTAAAAACTACCACTGAAAACTGGTAGTCCTGCATTCTTAACCTGCAAATATCTTTGTGTACAAGATTGCACTTGTAGAAAGCCAAGCCTGCAATTGCTTGCATCATAAAATCATCCAAAACATTCTCTAAGTGCTAAGCCATGAGGGTTAGTGTTCTAAGTCACTTGCCCTGTGCTCACCTTGTTTGCAGTGTAAAAGGAGGACTCTGCACCAGGCGACAGCTGTCACCACCCATCACTGTTGGATTCCCCTGCCTTTCTCCCCGCAAAATCTCACATCATTTTTAATTAAAGGACATTGTTAAAGGGAATTAAAATCACTTTGAAACTATGAAGACAGCCACGTCTGGAGAAGTGTCCTCAGAGCCACTCCTTGAGTTGCCCATTTTTCCAGAATGCATTTTATGTAACTGTGTGTTTCCCCGCATGTGACCCTAACTCTCCCACAGCTGCCCAGACCTGATGGCTAATTCCCTCCAAGTGCAGCCAAGAAAGGGTGGGAATTGCATTTGACAGGGACAGGCTATAAAAGATACATAAGAAATACCAACCTAACCTATGCATATGTTAATTACAATTTAGCAAATTTTGAGGATTGGTTGGTACTATTTCAAAAGGAGGCAGAAGTAATTGACTTGTCTTCTCGGAGAGCACCCGCCCTCTGTCAGAGGGATTCTGATGACCTCTTGAGGTGTTTTCCAGTCTGTTACCATTGAAGAAGCAGCCAACCCAGATACATGCCAAGTAAATCAAAGCCCCCTTCTCACTCAGTTTTTCCCGGGGAGAGCGAGAAAGGAAAGAAGAGTAACAACGAACTGTCCCGAGGGCAGCAAAGCACGCTTCTGTGTTTGATGTGTGTGTCAGGGTGCCCAGGGGCTGTTATCCCAGCAGCCAGGACCTGCCCCCAGCCCCATCACTGGTGATTTGTGGCTTTCTGTGTACCTCATGCCTCCTTCTTAATCCTTCAAGAAAATATCCCTCCCCTAAGACACACATCCTCTTGTTTGTCCTCGCCCCTCCTGCCTCCTCACCTCCACACTGCCTCATTATGTGGCCCAGCCAGACCCAGAGGTTCCCCGGGTGAGAGGCTTGTCAGCTTGAAGGGCTTTTGAAAAAATTGGGTGAAGCTAAAATATGGGCCTTCCTCCCCGTACCTGGGGTGGGTGCACTGTCCCGTCTCCTGTCTCCATCTCCAAAGTCACTGTGCAGACTGAGGGCAGGCCCCAGCCCCAAGCCCAGGCAACAGTGCTCCCCAACGTGGAGAATGGCATGGAAGTGAGCAGGGAATGTGCAAGGTCTCTGGGCAAGTGGCATGCAGAGCTGGTGTTGCCACCTCCTGATGGGAGCAGTTAGTGCCAAAGGACAGGGCAGTCCAGAAGATTAACACCACTTGTTCCAGTCTTCCTTACTGCATCTCTCAGAAATACAGGAGCGTCAGGAAGTAGAATAAAACAATCTCAGTCAGCTCAATAATACATTACACAAAAATCCAATGAGCACTTCTGTTCCAGGTATTATGTGAAGCCCTTTACATTCATTTCTCACAACTAAGTGGCAAATGTAAACATTACTTCCTACTTTCAGCCTACAATTGGGGAAATTGGAGTTTAAGAAAAATTAAGAAACGTCCTTGATGTCCTGATCTGGTGAAGAGCACAGTCCAGATCCAGACCTCATCTGCTTCTAACGTTAAAGACCTTTCCCTGAAGCAGTGTGTATTCTTTTTGCCATCCATCCCCCTGAGGTTTGGAATAACTGAGCACTCCAGCTCCCCAAAGAATCTTCAGATTGCATCTTCAAGGCTGCCTAGAGGTGCTATGTGATGAACGTGGGTGCAGCAAGGCCACAACAGCCCTCCCCAAGGCACTCTGTTCATGTGAAACACCTTGGAATTTGCTTTCTCTAGTTGAAGTTCCCAATTTGGATGTAGAGGTGTCCCTGTTTGGTAGCATTAGGATTCTGAACTTCAGGCTAGAGCCTTGCCTCACCAAGAGTCCAGATAGCAGCCAGGCTGTCAAACTCTGTGGGTCCAGGGTCAGCCGGGCAGTAGAAGCAGGTGGGGGTCAGCCAACCGTGGAAGGAGGAAGGAGAGTCTGAGACTGTTGCTGGTCTCTGAGGACAATGGCAGAAGTCCTTCAGGAAGGAGAGAGAAGGGGTGGACTCTTCAAATGAATAAGGACAAAGAATGTCTCTTGGGCCATCTGGACAGCGTCAAAGAAAGGCCTCTCTCAGAAAAAGAAGGTGCCAGTGTTGATGACTGTGTGACTGATGGGTAAACTGAAGAAAATATGGTAGGGTGCCAGAAGCAGCCTAGGTGCCAGAAGCAGCCCAGGGATGCACTGCTGGTGAAGGTGTGGCTTGGAGTTGTGGCCCAAGACCCGTAGCCTTGTTCTAGCTCCAATAGCCCCTCATTGCCACAAGGTACTGCATGGTCTTTCACAGGTCACAGGGCTTTGCAAGTCTGATACAAGCGAAAGTGAGTTATATGTTGGTAGGGCCTCAGTGTCTATCATCCAGACTGGGGTGCTCCTGAGAGTGAGAGAGATGCTGCTGGTCATCCAGGCAGAGCAGGGAGCCTGGCCACCCTGTGCAGCCACACAGCACTCCACACATCACGCTTCATGTGAGGTGGCAATGATCCCTCCCCTCTGCCTCCATCTTGCAAGGATTTTGTGAGAATCGAGCAAGATGATGTCTATGATTCCACTTTGTAAACTGTGAGGTATGTATGACCCACAGACAGCACCGGAGCTCTTGGGCTGTGAAGTGTGTCCAACTTGGAGGACACTGTGGTCTCAGCAGCTGCTCACATATAACTGACGAATGATGCCAACCTGGAAATGCAGACCATTTGATTAAATGGGTGATGTTGCTTAAGTTACTTAGCCAGTCACAGGAAGCTGAAGGATAGCTCAAAAAATATCTTTAATACTCTAACATCTTTCAAGAAATGAATCTCATGAAACTAGGATAAAACTCAATATAAACATTACTAGAATTTTCATGAATTTTGCACGCTTGGAATTAGCATCAGTGACATTACCTCTCCTACTGACACACACACACATATCCCTCATCACAAACTCACAGATATACACGTGGCAGTTTATTCCATTTAACAGACACATTGGAGTTCCTGGACTTTCTCATCCCATCAGTGTACCTCTAATTCTAAAGCGACAGCCCGTACTACTAATGGTGATGGTCCTGATTAACCACATTCAGGACTTCAGTGTGTTTGTTATGTGGGCACTAAGGTTCTAACATATTAAAGAGAAATTAATAGGATTCGTGGCTTGTGTGAAAGCACTGAAGTCTAAAATCCCTTTGAGTAAACATGAACTTGCATCCAAGTTATGTGAGCTCCAACTAACCAAATTCATAACTTGCTCTGCTTGCTGGGTTCTTAAATTGGATAGTGTAAATTTGACTAAGTGCAAAGCAGGTCACTTGCCTCTTTGAATTTCAAAATACTACTTGGTACTACTGTACTTTGATTCATGTAAAACCAGGACAGATCACAGCAGCCCCAGGAATTCCAAACAGTCATTAGCCGGGCAGGGGGGTGCCTCCTCCTCCTTTCTGAGGACCCTGAAAATGACCACGTTTGGGTTCAGGCATGATGCGTGCATACCGCTGCACCCAACGCCTGCGGCCTCTCCTAGACAACAAAAGGGACATGTGACAAGGACATTGTCCCTGCCCGCAGGAGCACACAGTGTAGGACAGCAGGATGTCTGTTGTCTTGGATGAAGAAGGGGCAGAGTAAGGGGGAAAACAGGAGCAAGAGAGAAAAGCGAACCAGGAGGGAAAAAAGAGAGAGGAGGATGTAAACTGGGGTAGGGGCAAAAGTTTTCAAGGCATGAAATTTTTAAAAAAGAAAACAGGTGAGCAGGAAAGTTAAGAGGGCTATGCTGGCCTCTCCTTCACAGCCACAGTATGACAGAAAGTCCAGCAGCAGGCAGAAGAGGGCCAGCCCCACTCCCTGAGCACAAGCCCAGGGAGGGGTGAGCGGAGGAGGAGGCACCACCTGGGCAGCAGGATGTGGAGCAGGCCAGGGCCTGCACCCCGCACGAGGTATGTGGCTGAGAGGCAGGGAGCTGGCCTGCGGCAGGTGCAGTGCAGCCAGCGCCCGCGGCTCTGGGAAAG